TTTAGTCGAACCACTCAGCTCTTCCAGTATATAATTGTCTCTTACTGTAAAATGGTAGCAATAGTTAACGATCGTGTTAATGCAGTATGATTGCGAAAAATAATAAAAGCAAAGATGAATGAAATTTTTGTCGGAAAACACGGAACGACGTAAAATAGCTACGTTAGGGACTAAGTTGAGCTTCATAATATAAGTATGTTTCATATATGGAAAATATATGTTTAAATTCTATATATGCTTAACTTCTGATTGATGTATGCCAAAACACAATGTTATATGTTTATAATGTCCGACAATTTTTAGTGAAATTAAGTTTGTATTTATGAAATCAAAAAATAACTTTTATGGAGCTTTTTTTCAAATTGTTTTAACAGAAATACCAAAATTTCCTTTCTTTCTTTTTCTTTTTTTTTTTTTTTTTTCATTTTTCTACCAAACCATAAGTTTTTACTTTAAAGCTACAAATAAAATCTTTTGATGTTATTTTTCATTCAATGAATCTAATCGTTAAATGAAATGAAAAAAAGTACATTTATTTATTCACACAATCAAATGACCGAATCCTAGAAATTGGTAGTCACTAGAAAAATGAGTGTTATTTATTTAGTTGTGAGAAAAAAACAAAAATAAAAATGAACGAAGAACTCCATTTGAATTTCAAAAATTGAAATCAGAATTTTTAAAAATTCAAAATTTGAAATTATTTTTAATTTCAGAGGATGCAAATATTAATCTTTTTATTCTTATAAATGCTTTTTATTCCCTCTCTCTCTCTCTTAAATATTGATTTTACGGCTTGAGTTTTAGCAAAAAAAAATCCTTCATGTTTCGTTTTTTCTTTTTTTTAAAAAAAATAATTTTTTGCAGCAGCTAGAGATGAAAAAGCGATACTTGTTGCTTCCATTATTTGTTCAAAAGCGTTAAAGTCAACAGTTCGCAATATATGCAACGCTTTCTTATTTTCATTTGTACTGGACAAATTCTAATGTTACCTTCTCGTTTTGTTCATTGACAGATAGAAGTGATCGCAAAGGAAAATTTTTTTTTGCATTTTCCTTTTTTAAACCACTTTATTTTTTCTCAATTAATTAACATATTTAATTGTTTTACATTTTGCATCACTTGGAAAAAATTTAACTTAAACTTTTATTTGTTTATTTAATTCATTTAAACCCTTTTATCGTTTGATCGTTAATAAAATAACTGTTGATGCGAGGAAAAAGACGAATGGTAAGAAAGGTAAAGGAGGTGATAAAAACAGTAATATTTACAACAATATTAGTATTAATAACAGCAACTAATGATAATGATGATGATGATGGTAATAATAGTAATAGTAATTAATAATATGGTAATTAAAATAATAATTTTTATTATTATGATAACGGTAAGAACAAATATTGCTTGTTATATGCAACAGTTTTCTGCTTATCATCCTATTCTGACAGCCGGATGATAAAAAGTAGCATATTTAATTAATAGTAAAAATGGATTAAATTATGAATCAACAATTAAACGAATGCAAACAATACAACAATGCTATTTCTATAACAGTCATTTCCATTCACTTATAACGTTGATAGAAAAAGAAGTATATAAAAAAGTTATTTAATCATAAGTAATCAACTATACTTATAAACCATTAATGCCCAATGGCTATTGATGTGAAATGGTTATTTCATAAAATAATTTTTTGCACTTAGTAATAATTAATAAGAATGATAATTATAATAATCATTATTATAAAAGCTTTGCCAAAGAGATGAAAAGGAGAAGAGAATGTGAAATTTCGAAATGAGAAAGTACATGGAAACAATTTGAAACGGACTGTCTGACTGCATCTCTGCTTCATTTCCATCAACGTCCTTTCTACTTTTTAACTGAAGCGATAATATCCCCTTATGAACAAACAAATAATACTGCTTGTTTGCATGTTTAATGAAGAAAGTGGTGGAGTAATAAAAAATAGAAGGAAGAGTGAGGTGATGAAAATGAGTGGAATGAGAATAGGAGGAAAGGTGAGGAAGAGAGTAAGTGGAAGCAGATTGATTTCTAATATTTACGTCCTCTTCTTAGTCGGTTGTTTGAACCGTATGTGCATGTTTTGTAAATACGGATGCAAATATATCCATTTCTTGGTTTAACTGTTTTATGATAATTTATTTTTTAATTTAAATTAACAGAGAGATTAGTTTCGTGTAATATAATTAGTATAACATGCGATATAATATAAAATATTTTATATAACATACTATATTATGATATTATAATAGAAATATAATATAATATAATATTTAATAATAGTATAATGTAATAATTGTAAATGTAATATAATTTAATACTAGTGTAGTGTAATATATTACGTTGCATTGTGTTAATCCTATTAACAGTATTATACTATCTACATAAACAAGTTTGATAATGGTAATAAGTATAAAATATAGCATAAACAAAATAAAAATTAATGATAAATATTGTAGTAAAGTTTTGATAATATGCCTAGTGTAATAGAACAAAAAAAAAAAAAAAAAAAAAGAGTAAAGTAACGGAATACAATTTGCGCAATGAATGTGATATGATTGGACGTGAATAACTTCATATCTAAGAGTAAGAAAATGATAAACCTATTAAGCAGAGTGTGCTGAAATTTTAAGATGTTTTAATCAATATCGAGTCATGAAATTTGCAGATGTCTTCATTTAACTTTATTTATTAGAAATAATAAAAGATAAACATAACTAATTGTTAACTGTAAATGAAAACATATATGAAAATAGTATGCATGTGTGTTACAAAAAATTGAAACAAAAGCTGAAAAAAAAAAAGAAATTAATTTAACTTCTTCGGACGATACTGTTATCTGCAATTGTAATTGGAAATATTGCAATAAATTAAAAAATCATTTTTGATTTTTGTTACATAGTTGAAAGTTGCTTACATACAATGGAAAACAGAAATTGTTTTTCTATTGAACCCCCAAAAAAATGATTCAATGATAAAAAGAGAACATTCATCATATTACTTTTCCGAATTCTTAGAGGAAAAAAAGTCACAACAGGAACTCATTGTGCTGGGTAGAAAGTTATTTATTTGTTCATATCTATATATTTTTTGTTTGCTTGTTTATTGTTTGTTTGTTTGTTCGTTCATTTGCGTGTTTGGTTATACATGTATTTATTTCTTCGCTTACACCTGTTTATTTATTTGTTTATGTATTTATTTATTTATTTACCTCCTTATATTCATTATATATTATTCTTTTGTAGTTATATTGTTTTCATAAATGCACAGTTTCTTCAATAAATATATTTTATAAGATATTTCCCTTACACTGCTTTTTACTTTTATAGTATATTGTTTATCTGGTAACCCAGTTTTTGCCTTTTCAATTGCGCAATAAAATGAATTGATCAAATAATAAGTTTTATAAACAAAAGAATAATGTGGTACGATTAGGAAAAATGAAATGCTTATTCCATTTTGCTCTTTTAAGTGCCTTCATAAACAAAACTTAAAAAAACAAACGGATGGGCAGACAAATAAGCACGAGAACAAACAAACAAATTTATTAGCAAAAAAAAAAAAAATCTAAAGCTTTTTACTTTTAATTCATTCTACTAGATCATTATCCTATTGTTCTGGTTTACTCTAATCTACTTAATTGATCTTATCTGTGTGTGATTTATTAATACTTATTAAGATTTATTTTGATGTGTTCGATGACTTTGATTTATCTTACTTGGAACACTCCAGCCATGTTAATTTACCTTAATTCCTTTGATTGTTTCATCTTATTTGACTTAATTTATTTGATTTAATTTCTTTTCACTGATATTCTTTACTTGCAAAAGTGTTGTAACAGCAATAAAAACCGTTAAACAATTGTAAAACATGATTTTGCTAATTCCAATTTTTAATTTTATTATTAATTTTGATTTATAGTTTTCTCCGTGATACAAATATTAATTCACATATTGTTATAACATATGAATGCACAAAAATAATTGAAAATAAAAAATAAATAAAATGTTAAATGAATTTTCCTTTTTCAATGTTTTTTCTTCTAATTTATGAACCGTTTTATTTATCTTGTTGAAAATTAATTCCTTTAAAAAAACTTAAATATATATAATATCACTACTATTACTATATACTTCTATCACACTAAAGAATGCTATTAAATATTCGTTTTTTTTTTTAAATGATATCATTCATTTTATGTTTCGACATTTCAATTTTGCGTGTGTTTAACTAATTTTACGTATATTTAATCATAATTATAATGAATGTATCTTGAAATTTTTGTTATATATTTGAAAATTTTTAATTAAATTTATTCATTTCGAGTATCATTTTAGTATTTGATTACTACTAGTAAATAAAATTTTTACACTGACTACGATATCAAAATGATGAAGTTTGCCGTATTATGACAATTACATTTTCTTGACTTCTTAGAATTGTTTTCACGTGATTTTAATATTTTAACGTGCATAAAAGCTTAGACGGAATTTCGTGAAAATGAATGAAATATAGTAAATATATGATTCTTCGTACTTAAGGATATTTGATAGCAGTTGGTCAAGTAGGCAACATTCATCATATTAGGGTCTTTCCAGAATGTTATCGAAAAGCCGAATGGTGATGTAGAGCATTTTCCAGTAGGCTTTAATTAGTATTTTGAAAGACTCTCTTTGACTAATTTGGGGATAACTCATCGTTTAGATGAATTCCATTATCAAAGACATTACGGAATGTTATCGAGGTCCAGTGATGACATTCCTATATCAGATGATAAATTGCACATGTAAAATGTTATTTGTAATTTGATATTAAATATATTTGTCAGAGAGCTGATTTAATAGTTTAATTAGTGAACATGGATGATGTTATCATTTTTTGTCGTTATGGTTGATAATTTCAACCATCTATGCAAATTTTGTATGCAAAAGAAGGCGAACACTTCGTTATTGCAATGAAACAAAAAATTGCAGCGAGAAATGCGAAAAACGCGAATAAAGACGTGGAGTGAAACGCTGTGTCGTTCACACTTCAATCACTTGATAAAATTACGAAATGATAGCGGTAAGTGAAGCGAAATAAACTGTCACATTCTTTCGTGAAAGCAAGTTTGCATCGCGTTAAAATGCTCTCATAATCAAATCTTTAATTATGTTAACTTATCAAAGTCGAAAATTTTCAAACTTTTAATTTCACTAAGTATTGTAATTAAATTAAGATTTAGAATCGCCAACTAGAATAACAGCATGTTATCCCGCAAAGCATATAGAAAAAACAACGGTATATACGGTAGACAATACACTTCTGGTAATTCCTTTATATACAAATTACTTTATGGATGTCCTTTTTTCTTTCTCTATAATTTGAAAATATTTAACTATTAGATTGATTTTTTTTTAATTTTTTTTTTTATCTACTATGGTCGAAAATTTCATCGTTTTGAATTATTTTATTTTGAGATATTTCAATCATTCACATTTTAACTAAGGAGTATACTTAAGTGAATTATTAATCAACACGACTTACTGATAAATTTGATTATTCTTGTTACATTCACTTCAAATTTCACGTTGTCTTTAGCAAGAAAAAGAAAGGAAAAAGTTAATTATCGAATACTATGTGATAAAAAAAATATTTTTATGTCGTTTCAATAAGTTAATTCCTATTTTTTATGCATTAGGTATTTAAATTGAAATTTATTTGCAAAATTTGTAAAAGATACATCATAAGTGAAAAATATACAAATAATTTTTGATTTTTCTCTTTTATTCCTTCTTTTTAAAGGAGCAATCATCGAAGATAAAGCTAAGTGTTCGATGTGGTGCCTTAATTTTAAGTCCATTACGTTTGATGCGAGTATTTTCGGAAAGAAAACAACTTTATCAGTTAGTTAGTTATGACTAAAATTGTATTTGAGAGAAAAATTTTAATGTCTTGTTATTTACAGTATCCTCTTGGAGTTGGCCTAATTACTGTTCGTTCTCTGTGCAATAATTTACAAATATGATTTGCGATATACACAAATATCATCTTACTTATGACAGTTATATCATTTGCAATAAGATTATTAATGAATCTGAATAATGAATAAGCAACTAAATTATAAAAATTTTCAAAGCAAAAAAAAAATTATTAAATTTACGGTAATTGACAGGAAAAATAAAACGAAGGTAATTGTTACAAATGAAACGACAGCTTCAACTAACGACAAAAACAATTATCGAATTGGTTTATTATATCTAATTTTCTCCAAAATTTTACTAGGTTATAATGATTGTTTGTTCCAATAGATGCAACGATATGTGTATCTTTTGGTGATACGACAAATGATTCAAGGGATATATGACTTTTTTATTTGGATATGACCAGTCGTTAAATTGGTTAATTTATTCTAATCTTAATTTGCAGCATTTTGATTAACTTAACATAAATATAAATAAGCAAAATAATAATGAATATTGTTCTCTTGGTTTTTTTTAAAACTTCAGTAATTAAGTTTGTCTCCGTGCTAAACATTGCAATTTTATCATCGAAGAAGATTAATATAAAATTGATGTTCATACTTATTAATAAATTTTGAAGTATCGTTCAGTTTTAGGCTAATTTCAGGTGAGGGCGGCTTTGGGGCTGTATTTCGATATGTGTACAACAACCGTGATGTAGCGATTAAGCAATTACATCACTGTCGACATTCGTCATCTTCTGATTTTTATTCGTTTTGCTCAGAACTGAACGCCTTCCGATTACCGCCATCACCATACGTTGTTCAGGCGGTTGCGTTCACGTCATCCGACATTTGTTTACAGGTATTTTCCTGTTGCATTAACGTCATCTAGCATTTGCTTCATTGTAATATAATATTATCACAGAATTTATCACTACTGGTGAATATATCGCTATTCCGAATACATATTCCCAAGAAATAACAGTGACAGAATATTTAAATGAACAGTGATGCATACAATTCATCTTTTTTTGATTAAAATAGAATTTTAGGTTGTAACAGAATTTATTGAAGGGAAAAACTTGCAACAATTGATTAGTGATGACAAGTGGAATGTTACCTTTTTGCATCGTCTACAGCTTGCTTTTCAGGTAAACATTCATTCGTACATTTTTAGTCCTTTTTTTCTCTTTTCATCATTTTTAACAATTTTCTGATTTTATTCTTTGTTCAGTTTTGTCAAGAAATCGAAAAAGTTTTCTAATCAAACGTATCAAAAAAAAAAAAAAAAAAAAAAAAAAAAAAAAATGCAGAACAGAACTGGTTATTCAATGTAGTCATTATAAACTTAGAATGTCATTGATAAGAAACGAGAAAGCGTTTGCATTTCAAATTTTTCTCAAATATTCTAATTCACAAGTTAATTATTAAAATTGAACAATTCAACTTTTGAATAAACTATATAATAGATATGCTTTTGAAACCAAACAATTGCTAAATTATTTGTTGATTATTTTGAGGTGATAAGTGGTTTAGTGCATTGTCATAATCATTTGTTACTACATTTGGATATTAAACCAGCTAATATTATTGTACACATAAATGGAAGGACGTGTAAATTATCAGATTTTGGTTGCTCAAAAACTGCAACAACTTCAGAAAATGGCTTATTAGTTGTTGGTGATGCAACAGTAAATGCAGGATTTGGTACCGTTGCTTATAAGGCACCAGAATTATTAAAGGTTGCATAACTTATTCTGTTAATATTTTCAGTTTATAAAATAATCACTAAGAAAAAAAGGAAAGGTTAATGTGAAGGAAGTAATTAATTTATTTCAATTTACTGTCTTCTAAATGATTAAGTCACTTGGTTAATACTTTAGTTACAATAAGAAGTTAAGCTTTAGAATTAGATTTAAAAATTCTCCACTCTTTATCAAATCTTCCTGATTACTCAGTTGCTGTTAGCAATATATATAACGATAATAGGCAGACGTCAATTTTCTTTTCTTTTCAAATAGATTTTAATTTAAATACCTAAAATCGATTTCATTCGCTTGTTACATTTCAAAATCATCAAAAGTACATTTTTTCAAATTGTCTAGTAATTTTAGTTTAGCATATTTAGGTTTAAGTATGTTTAGATTATAAATCAATTTCAGAAACTATAAAAGAACTTGGAAGTGTTGCATTTCTATTTCTGATGATTAAATTTTTTTTTAGGGTCAAGAAATCACAGATAGAGCTGATATCTATTCTTTTTCATTACTTCTATGGGAACTTCTGACACGGGAAAGCATATGTAACTCCATGCATCCACACGTTTTTATCTACAGTGTTGTCGTACACAAATTAAGACCTAAAATTGAGCAGTTGAATATACCGAAAGGTTTGTTGGTTTTAAAATTTTTAATGGGACAACACGTGATTTATGTGAAACTATTTTTTTTTTATCGTTCTTTCTCCAATTTTCATCTTTTCTTCATCGAAGCTAATTTCAGGTGAACAATTTCTTGTTTTTTCATCAAAAATAATTTCAGATAAGTATGGTAGAGCCTTAGTTACGCTACTTGAAAATTGCTGGTCGGATGAATTAACAAGACGTCCGCGTGCTATTACAGCCCAACAAATCATCAAAAAATTTGTTGACTCCAAAAAAAATTAACTCTTTCATGTGAAATTCAATGATTAACAAGAAATCATCTATACATATTATGCAAATATCTCAATTTTAATTATTTATCATTGTGACTGAAATGAAAATTGTATTTATTCCTTTTCCTTCTAATTTATAATTTTAATTGTGTAAATATTATATCGCAGTGCACTAGGGTGTCATACATTTGTAATTTTAATATCTTAATTACAATGGTAAACAAAGTCGTCAACTATGCATTTGTCGAACTCTTAAGACGAAACTAAGAGTGGAAATTGATATGCACGTATAATGCATAACTAATTCTTTTATTTATACTGATGCATATATGACAAATTTGCTTCCTGGACAGTTACCTGAAGGCACATAACTATTAATGCACCTTTGACTAATACAGGTAAAGCAGGTAAAGAGAAATGGGAATGGCTTATAATTGAGGAAGGGAAGATGCATTATTGCTTTGATTATCAGTATTTTAATAATTCTAGCAAATACTGGTAAAGACATAAAGCCATTGATTACATTAGAATTTTGTAAACTAAGAAGAAACCAAAGAGAAAGTGAAATGAAATCAGTCAAGCAGAGACTCAAACTTTGCACTCCGATTGAAATACGTTATTGCAATTAAAATTTCTGGAAAAAGAAGTCTCAGTAAGCTATCTAGAATGAAAAACAAAAATATTTGTCGAATTCAGAAATTTCAAAGTATCCATCAAATGCAACAAATGAAATTGTCTTTTTAACATTCATTCAAGTTAAAGTGCAAATAATTATTTTGAAAAATGTAGTTAGATATTGAAAAATCCCCTAATGAATGATATTTTGAGATAACTCGGGAAATTCTGAGTTCAGAACAGATAAATAGCGTAGAATAAAAAATTTATTGGAATAACTTGATTCGGGAATCAAAACCCACTTCTTCCGGAATTAGAATTTATGTATGTTTGAGTCAATTGAAAAGGAGAATCAACTGATTTTTCTAATTTGTTTTAAACCAAATAAAGTTTTTTTTTTTTTTTAATTTGTTTTATGGTGCAAATTATAAATGCCATTAAATTCGCTTCTTTTAAAACTGTATAACCTATTTACGACAAAGTTTATAATTGATTAAAACAATTGTTCGTTCATTTTGTTAAGAAACCAACAAATGTGAAAATTCACAAGTCACTTAATTTATTATCAATTTCCCTAAAATATATTTCCCGAAAATAAATATAACGAAAAAAGAAGAAAAAAGAGATTAAATACGATTAAAATTTAAAAGCGAAATTAATATGCAAATGAGCAAGACATTTTTTTAAAAAAAATTGTTATAACAGGAAAGATTTATCAATTGATTGATTAATTGGAATATACTAATAATATCATTATTTACACAAACTATTTAATGTAAATCAATACCCCTCCATCATGCAAATTTCTATTATTTATACTACTATTCAAACTTAGATTAAATTATTTAATTGACTAACAATTAAGGATAAAATAAGTGAAGATTTTGTATTTGCTTAATTGGTGGAACAAATGAGAGAAACTTTAAATTAAGGTGTTAAAATTAAGACAATCAATATATACCTTTAAGCGTATTTCGTCCTGTCAGATTACCTACGCAATTATACCCATCGTTGGATCATTTCAGGCTCATTTTACCATTATTCGACTAATCTTCAATTATTGAATACTCTTCCTTATGCAATGTGTGTTAGGCCTAAATTTAACTTAGCAAATGCTTCATTCATTTATCTAATGTGCTTTCGCTATAAACAACATTCGACTAGCATTTTTAGTGCATCATAACACTGACGAATGACTGTCACCACTGAATGATCGGATGATATATGTAATTCAGATGGAATTTTTGGAATAAGAACCATACCAATCCCAATACTGACTATATAATTTTCTGCTTGAAACTTTAATACAATTTCTACCGCAGAAAGTTGCAAGAAAATCATTCCTGACTGATCACATTTTTAATTAACACCCGCAGATGCCCTAAATAAAAGAAGAAAGACAATGCTACTTAAAATTGGGTAAATGACCGTCATTATATTATATGATGGTACAAAAAGTCGAACCATAATCTGATAAGAAAAACTGAAAAGCTTCATGCTCCATTTATTAGTTTTTCATAACAACCAATTACTAATTTACCACACAGCTGCAATAATAACTGCAATACTTGATGTACCAGAATGAAACGATGCTCGAAAAGACGAATAAACAGTTATTCTATCGTTATAACTGAACTTCATTTCTGATTTATTCTGGTTTATGGAAGATTTATGATTTTAAATGGAAGTATCTCTATGATGCAACAAAATGCACTTCCATAACTCTTATAGTTTTATCAATAACACCTTGCTAGTGCGCATTATGAAACGCTCAATACTCCACTGTCAGAGCTTGAATTTACAATTGCCTGCCTTCTTAGGAAAGTATCGTGTAAGACAGTCCAAAAAAAGGCTTTAATTATCAATACATATTTCTATATGGCATTAAAAATATAGGATGATTTTAATGGCATTCCCAGATTGAATTCATAAAAAATGGGAACCATTACTTTTTTCTTCCTAAAACAGTTGCGGCATCTATTATTTCCACATTTCGTTATAAAAATTTATAACATTTTTCCTCTTTTGATTATTTATTGAATTTTATTTACTATTCAAAACATATAATAATATGTTCAAATCTATTTTTAATCGTTTTGTTTCTCTAAAATACCACTTTACTTCCTCATTCTAGTCTTTTATCACAAATAGTTAAATTTGGGTCTAGAAACACTGAAAATATCCAGAAACAACGAAAAATCTGAATAATCTACTTTTTTTTTTTTACTAATTCATGTGACCAGGAAATTAGTCTAAGGTGCGTAAGCATTTCTAACAGATCAGTTTTTAACTAATTTCGTCATATGAATTAACAAAATAAATAATTCAAACGATACATCCTTTCTTAAACTGGAAAATATGAGGAATGAAAGTCCTCAATAGACTACAGAGTTGAAGTTGTGAAACTTAAATAAGAAAATCAAATGGATAAAGGCAATCAGAAGGCCAAACTTTGGTTATTTGTCCGAAGAGAAATTTGAAATAATTGTAGAAGTGTTAATCCGTAAAAAGCGAAGCATTCTTAACAAATATTAGGAAAAATGTGTCAAATATATGTCAAAATAATGCGGAGCCATAACAAATATATATATATATAATCATTCCAAATTTAAGTAGAAACTGATTTCTCGTCCGCTGGTCGCTTTAGACCTCGAATCGTAAGATCATACACAACTTGTTCAGCTCTCTGAACATCGTATTTTAACGCATCGTATCTTCGACGTAGTCCATCATTTTTTAAATTTAGCAGTCGAAATTTTGCATCGAGATCATATAGAAAATCAGCAATCTGAAAATATAGAACATGAAGTTTCAAGTCTTTCATATAGAAAACACTAATCTGAAAATGAAAATTCTAACCCTAAAAGCTGATGACTTCGAAGTTTCATTCGAAAATAATAACACGAAAACAATTATCTTCCCTTCTACACCACGCTATAAAAATATTCAAATTGAATTTTCGAATATTTCTTCATAATCCCAAATTAATGCTCTTACGAGATGAGATGTGTCACATATCATAAGTGCATACATTACTTAATTAAAAATAAAAATCCAAGGAGAAATGAACCTTAAAAGGCAATACGCTATTACCGACAACGACAGCATTAATGGAAAACCGTGACAGTTCATTAGCAAGTTGCAATACACCAAATAAATAATCTTCGACGTCCAGATGAAAACCAGCTGCCGGGTCAACTTTAACTAAAAACAAATTCGTTTCAATCATAACGGCATAATTGAAGATCACAATCAGACACAAACATTGACACTTTCTTCGAGAAAAATTATACTCATTTTCCATTTTTTTTAAAAAACGGCATACTATTTAAAATTTCAGCAACTCTGTCTCGACTCAGCAAAATTCCATGTTTAAGAAAATGAACATAAGTCACAACGAAGCATAATTTCTGAATAACAAAACGGAAATTATCGTAAAATCTGAAAAAATAAAAGGTGATTAGATAGAAACTCCCTCTCTTTCTCAATCAAATTAAATAAAATACTGGACAGAAATTTATCTAGTAAAAATAGTTTGTTGCCTTAGGTAACAAATTAGTAAATCTGCGACTAATAAGAATGAGACTTTGCTCTTGTTATGCACTCTCATGTCCTAGGAATAACGATATAAAGTGGTTATATAATTATCATCAAGATTTTTCGAAGACTGCTATCAAAATGATATTACTTATTCAGTAGCAAAAATAATATTAATGATTGACTTTATCTTCTCAACTTTCGAATTCCTTTTAATGCACATTATTTGGATATTGCTAATATTGTAAAAACTTTGATGAAGATAATCCTAGCTTAACAAAATATTTACAGACGTACCGATAATATGATACGGGAGATATTAAAGCAGCTAGCTTTATCAAATATTTTTGCACTTCATCTAGAATATTTTGCACCTCCTTTAAGTCTATATCTGCAAATAAACATAGTACAAAAATTAGTATCAACTTCAAATTAATGTTTTAAGAGTAAGTTAACTATATCCAAATAACTCGGTAATCCAGCAAGAATGGATCAGTAAACATCAACGGATAATCACGTCAATCAACGATATAACATACCACATCCATCCTTGAATGCATGAGTTTTCTGCAATATAGCAATGATTCTCGATACCCAATATTCCATTCCATGTGCTACATCCGCTATATTCTTCAAATATTTAAGAAAAATTTTAATGGTTTTCTTTCCTCTTCGTAAACAGCGAAAACAACAAAAAAAAGTACCCTTACCCCACCCTTAGAGATTGTAAACCGGTATAATCATGGGTATCTATGTTATCCATCAGTTAGATTTATCAACCTGGATCACAATGTTCCATGCAGAAATTTCATGCTAGAAAAAACAAAAAAAGCAATGGAAATTACATCTTTCAGGATACGATCTTTTTCAACTAATTCCCTGAATGCTTCAAACATAACATCAACCGGATTGGTTGCACTCGACGGTAACACCGTATCTTCCATTTCTAAATTGGTTAATTAAAAGCTAAAATAGTAAATGATTGGCGCTCTAAAAAATATACGAAATAGGATATATATGCATATGAAAAGTATGTTGAGCATAAATTAATTAGGAGATAGCATTAGCCTTAATTACCCCAGTTTACAGCTAACACTAAAGAACAAAGAAAGATATTAAGAACAGAGTGATTCAAACAAACCAATCTTTTCTTCAAATGTAATAATCTCATATAAAAAACTAACTGCAACGAGAAAGTTAAACATAAAACTAAAACATCAACAACAACAACAATTATTTAAACCACAAATTTGAAAACGCAAGTCATTCAACCTCTGACCACTCTCATCCTCACGCAGAACTATTTCTATCACTCTCCTACTGAATAAGCTTCCTCCTCATAAACTCCCCGTATTACATCCTATATCGCAAATTTAGCAATTTCTGTTGTATCATTAAGAAAAGAATATTTTCTGTTATTTAACTCTTCCCCACACATATTTCTTTTTTACTATACATCTTCCTATCTCCTCATTTCTAATACTATTAATCTCACCAATTGCGTTATATTTTAATGCCAACATAGCTGCGTACCAAAGTAACGCAGTACCCAAGACGATTTCGACATGAAAACTTAAATCCCATGTCAGGAGGTTATATAAACTGAGTCGAGGTTTGATTTTCCGTTTGACTAGTGGTTCCCTATTCCTTGATGTTCCGATTATTTCTTCGGTTGTTCTGCATTCCTACGGTGATAAATGAGCAGGAACAGACAGATTGTTGAGAATCTTTAGCTTGGAAATGGATATTGGTCTTGTCAGCTAATATGAAAATGTTTTGTAAGCATAGACAATCCGGTTAACATAACTGGACAATTAACATTTCCCACAAAATCCACGTAAACCATGTATCAGTCCTGAAATTTCAAAACTTTTTTTAATTAATGGTACTGCATGGTCGAGTAACATGACAGTGTAATGATAACTTGCCACTAGTGATATCAGTTTTATCATCATTAATAATGAAAGTATCGACATAAACTACTATTCCGGTCAATTTCTCTTTCTCTTCAATTTTGACACTGCCATCAAAAAAAAAAATTATTAAACATTATGCATGGAAGAAAAATAATTCGATGAAAATGGAAAAATTCATTCTGAATACTCACTTAAAAAATTAATTTCATTTTTCTTTTCACTCTCTTAAATATAGAATTTCTGATCGAAAAAAAGCAGTTGATATTAGATTGCTATTGGATTGAAAATGTTGAGGAATAATAAGCTTTATCATTCCATTAATTTCATTTTGCATGATATTGAAGGCATTCTTCGTGTATTCAGTGTATTCAAAATAAGCAGTAAATTGAAAATTTGATGCTCTTTTCTATTCTAATAAGCCTTACATATTAGGAATTAATTGGAAGTGCTGCGGAATAATGATCTAAAAAAAGAAAGAAAGTAAAATTGTCATCCTTATATTTTTTTTTCCGCTTGTCTCCACACCCTTTCTCGATTTATTTCTTATAAATTTATCTATTTTAGGTATTTATTTTGGAAAATTCTAATATTAATTTCTACTTCATATACGGTGATATCTCGCTATTGGTATTCCATGACTTACTGTAGAAAGTTTGATCTCATAAATTACTACTCTACTGTCTCACAATATGCATTTCTAGAATTTATACAATAAACGAATATGAAAACCTCGATTGAATTAAATGGGAAATTTAAGCAAATGTGTCTCATATAATACTAATTTCTTCATTTCTTATTCAATGTTCATCAATTTCCACTGAATCTGAACGAATATCAATCGATCGATTAATACATTTACTCAATGAAATTTATTTCATATTATAATAACTATATTTATATTGTCACTCATTCGAGCATTTCTCATAATGAACTCATCGTTCGTTCCATTGAACCGCATTAAATTTCCCTTTTGCGCCCAATCACTTCTTTATACTTCCTTCCCTCCAAATCATTAGCTCTAACAAATATTACACTTCCCGAGAATTAGTTTCTTTTCTATCCTATAGTGCTCATACTTATTTCTATTCCAATTCCATTCCATTTCATCTGATTCTCTCTTTCGCTTCCTCCCAATTAGAAAAAAAAAAGAAAGAGAAGAAAAGATAAGGTAAAATTGAGTAATAAGAGAGGATAAAAATGAAAAATTTTCTTTAACAAATAAAATTTGCATTAATAAAAGCAAATAAAAAAGAAAAGGAGAGGGAGAAAAAAAGAGAGAGAAAAGAAAGGAAGAAACAAAAAAGTTATCATGAGAATTTTAATATTCGCTTCTTTTTCTTTTTTTGCCCAAAGGCGGAAGAAAAATTCTTTCGCGTCAGTTAGATTTATGCAAATAAAAATGTTAGTAATGATTAGCTTAAGCAAAAATTTGTCGATATGATTATTTCCCAATTTCCGAAGTTTGAAATTAATTTAATTCTGTTTTTACACTTCAGAAAATGTGAAATTTAAAGTTGAAAAATATCACTTTTTTTTTCATTATCAATCTTTTTATATTTAGTCACGCTAAAGAATCGAAAAAGAATTGCTATTTCCATTTTTTATCTCTCTCACTTTCTCACATGTATATATTCGAAATTTTTGAAGTAGAAATATTTAGAAATTCTTTTTTTACCCATTTAATGAAATGATCAGTGTTATCGCATAATTATAATATTATTTCTTGATCCATTCAGTTACTCAATTCAAATAGTTCTTTCTTTTATTATAAAAATATAATTTTAAACAAAAAAGTTGAAAATGAATTTTAGAGAAAAAAAAAAAAATCAATTTATAAAGCACAGCAAAATAGGGCAATTTTTCTCGTCTTACTTTTTTATATCAAAAAGAAAACAACGATAGTTGAAAGTATAAATCAAATTTTCACATTTGTTTCATCAAAAATTTCAATCCTTAACTTTATGCTCCATTCTGTCCTTCTCATTGTCTCTTAAATTAGGAATAATTCTAGTCCAATTGGTTCATTACTTAGTACAAATAAACTATTTTGCAATTCTCCTTGTCCTTCCTATCTGCCAGTATCATATTCATTTCTTCCCTTTCATCATTATTTTGTTTTTGTAAAATTCAAAATATGCAATGGAACAATTTTCACTATCATAATGATATGCTAATAAAAGCAATGAATCAGCTTCATGGCTTACTTATCTTTAACGCCTTAATTAAATAAACAAAACAACTAATATTTAAAATATTTCTCTGAATCGAAATTATAAAAAAAGTTGTGTTAAAAATTTCACGACAAATAATCTTTTTCTATCTAGTCATATCATTAAGCAGAAGCATTATCAAATTATTCCAATATGACATTTGCAATTCACAAGAAATACCAAGGACATAACGAATATTCTTCTTCATAATCATTCATTGTTATAGATGATTTTTTCATCTTGCCATCATTATTTTATTATTTGTAAAGGTTTTGTGGTGTATGCCATAAAACCTTTACAAATAACCTTGAATAAGTTTTCATCGTTCCTATGGTTACATTTGAACAATTGCATATTATGACATAATTTGATACTTCTTTTTATTGGTATTATTATTTATATTTGTAACTATAATTGCAATTATAATTTCATAATCGTGATAATAATAATAGCAATAATAATAATAATAATAATAATTATTATTATTATTATTACTACTAATAACAATTCGGAAATTCTTTAATTTATAACTCTCAGTTAATTCATTTTACGATATCTTTGCTTATAGAATGTTCGAAAATAAGCGTCAATATTTCTAATTAGTATTTATAAATTTGTATTGGTAATTAGCTCCATTAAACATATCAATAACATGTGAGCATATAATATCAAGATTTTTTGCCTAATTGAATAAAATCTAAACAAATGCTATATTGCCATTTGTATACGAGCTGAATTAGCTTCATTGATCAATAATCACAAGGTAATCAATATCTCTCCTGTGTTTCTTCTATGCATTCATTTTTTTAACACATACTGCTGTGTATTCTTTTTCGCAACTATTACTGCCAATTATTCTTCCTTTTCTCAGCAACAGATTTGATAAAATTTAAAATAGCATGCATGCATTGAAATATCGAATTTTCGCGTAACTGAATAAAGAAACCTTAAGAGTATCAATAATTCGACACTATTATTCGCATATACATAGGATCTCCCGAAAAATTCAAATTATTCATTGCATTTAGTTTATTGATCCATCCGATTGATCTTATTTCATTGTTTCTTTTTTCTTCTAATGTAAATGAAAGGCAGTGTGAGAAATATCTTCCGTGTAATAAATAATTTATTTAAAGCAAATTTTTGTAGAAGAAAATCTATTTCCCACTATCACAAAATCAAGCTAATTACTTTTAAGCAGTTTTAATTATTGAGGGTGAGAAGTTCAAATTTAATGAATTTTTTATGAAAGAATTCATTAAACCAAGACTTTTACGAAGATATTCAAAAGAAAAAAACGAAGAAAGGTATAAATGAAATGGAAAAAAGATGAAAAGAAATGTTGGAGGAGGTGAAAAAAAGGTTAGTTTTAGGGCGAACAATTTAGCGTCAATTATTGTAGCCAAGGCATAAAACATTCATTTTTACGAAGCCTAGCAAATGGGTAAGGCTCTTATCCACTTTTTTTTTTTTCCTTTTTGGCTTCTTATAATTGATAGATGTAGTGAATAGTGAGATAAGGAGGCTAGGAACAAACGATGGCAATGTATAAAGCCACTTTTTACTTTATCTTTTTCTACATCATTGCCACATTTTCGCTGTTTTGTCCTTGTCTCTCCCTTTTCCAATTCGAACGCTTAATTTTTTTACCTAAAAGAAAAAAAATTAATTCTTTTTTGTTGACCTTTTATAATGCTTAAATATACTACCTCATTATACCTTTTGTCTATTTGAATTTGTGCAATGCAAAATTTTGAAAGGAAAAATATGTCACAGTCAGCTTTAATCGATATCGTCTGAAATTTTAACTTGCTAATG